TCTCTGCGCGCTTGACGATGGCTATAGTCGTGCAGTCTGGTCAAACATGAAGATTACGGCGCTGCATCCCTTGCGCGCCCCTCCTTCAGAGTGCTTCTGGGTATTGGCGCCGGGGAGGCACCATGAGGCTTCCGCAAGTCGCCCTCGGACTAAGACATTCACATGCTCAAAGATCCCCGCATCACTCCCGGCGACAACGTCATGGGCGACTTTGCATGACAGTTTCCAACATCTCTCGAGCTTCAGTTGTGCATCGCTGCAGGCTTCCTTCCGGTACAATCACTGAGCGTGGCTTGACAAGAGCGCGGCACTCAGCCTCCACTGCTCAGCCAGGCGATGACGCACAACCCCATGCATGGCAGCACTAGGTTGGTAACTTCCAAACTTGCAACCACATTCAAGTAAAACCGAGTTGCGCAAACAACATGCTCATGCCCACATAGACACACCCTGGATACAGCACATGTCCACCCCTTCAAGGTCCAGCAACGATGCGTCGTCCCCGCCGCCAACCGGTGATTCGAATTCCAACCCGACGTATGCCAGCTTCTCTCCCGCCAACCTAGGCCAGACGACACCGCAAACAAAACTGCGCTCCGCCATACTCGTGCACCAGAAGTCGCCCCTGCTTGCGGCTACACCACCACAGATCACTCGCGTGCTCGCTTATTCGCACCCCTTCATACTACCTCTGAACAAGTTTGCTGGGCTGGTGACATGGACGACCGGAGACCCATGGGAGAGCTTTCTCCTGGTCGCAAGCTTCTGGGCCGTTGTCATGTACGGTGATGCCGTGACAAGATACGCAGGGCCCATTATCGTCGTGTCTGGGCTGATACTGGGCATGTACACGCGAAGGTATTCTCCACTATCGTCGACCGGGTGGACAGGCGAGAAGGGACAGAAGGCGCACAAGCGCGTCGAGTCGGACACCAACATCAAGCATCACAAAAGCCTGGAAGAGATTGTGGACAGTCTGAAGCTCTTCACTTCGCGCTGCAACATCCTACTAGATCCCTTTCTACGCCTCACAGACTTCTTATCCACGCAGAGGACTGCGACCTCGGCTACTACACGTCCGGCGCTCACTGTATTGTTTATCCGAATCCTTTTCGTGTTGCCGCTATGGATAGCACTCACGCTACCGCCGTTCTATATCCTGACTACGAAGCGAGTGGTACTAGCGGTGGGCACAGTGATGCTGAGCTGGCATTCACGGCCAGCCCGCGTAACCCGAACCCTCCTGTGGAGATCAAGAACAGTCCGACGTACCTGCGCCTTTATAACTGGACTAGACTTTGGCGAAATCGTGTCAGTAGATAGGAAGGGTGCGCCTCCTCTGCCACCTCGAAAGAAGAGCACGCAGGAGGTTGCAGCTTCATTGGCGGCTAAGCGTCGGCCCGAATCTACAGGCGTACGCTTCACCTTCTCCATCTATGAGAACCAGCGAAGATGGCTAGGTATCGGATGGACATCCTCTATGCTTGCTTACGAGCGAGCGTCTTGGACGGATGAGCACCTGAACCCGGTTCCACCTAAAGAACAGTTCGAACTACCTGAAGTTGAAGGAGGTCAGTCGAGATGGCGGTGGGTGCATGGCAGTGAATGGAAGGTTGAAGGCGCGGAGAAAGACAGCAAGGCTGATAAAGGCGCGTCCAAGGAGGATTCGGCGTGGATATACTACGACAATAAAGTAAGTAGAGTAATTTGGTACAATGTTCCTATACTAACTTCAACAGTGGAGGGACGGACGAAGAGGTCAAGATGGTTGGGGGCGTTATACCCGCCGTCGAAAATGGTATCGCGACGCCGAGCTCGTCGAGTCGACATCGTCTACAGATACAACGCCTATGCCCACGCCTAAACCTGGCCCAATCGATAATTCTGGAGACCTTGACCCTAATCAACTCACAAAGCTCTCCTCCAATCTCAGTGTAGCATCCAGTACAGACCCTACTCTAGTCGAGGGTGATGGGCGCGAGTATGCCGCATCGATAACGTCGGATACGGATGCGGCGAGCACAAAGAGCAAACGGGGTTGGTTCAAGAAGAGGCGGAGCAAGAGTACAAGCGGTAGTGTGAGTGGCGTGACAGTCGTCAGCGATACGGGTACGAGTGGTACACGTAGAAGTGACGAGGACGACATGCAAAGTCCTCTCGATCGTATGGCGAAGGATGAGGAGTGGAGGCTTGGTGATGACATTCGTCAACATCTCGATATCTGAAGTAGTTGGAGCGCTTGATGATTGCCTTGTTGTATGAACACAGTTTTTACATTCCTCCCTGATACGAACCTACTCGATTTCAGTCAAGTGATGTACCAAACACCGATTAAAGCGATACATGTGCTAGCCAAAAGCATGACCGGGGAGAGCATGGTCGACAGATTGCTGGAGTGTTCCCCTTTCATCGCATAGCCTGTCTCTCGTGTGTTGTTGTGGTGCGTCAATATCGATGCTTCATCCGCAGTAGGTAAGTTCAGAAATCAAGCAGATCCATTGACATGTTCACAGCACGGAGAGAAACATGGTTTTCAAGTGAGTGTCCTTATTTCATGATCATATCTCATCTAATAATTCCCAGCAGTCGTGACCCTTGGTATTGGCAGTTCACCCCGATTTCCAACAGTGTTCATTGTTCCATCTCCGAGTCGCTCGATGGAAGTGTTGCTGGAAGAGTTCCGAGGCTCAGGGTAGCTTGACGCTTAGTGCTATTCGGGTTGTTAGTGCCGTTCGAGACCGAAAGGTAGACACCGCGTCGCTATATCTCGAGATGTACTTACGGAGCAGGATCCGCATCCGCAGCTGGAGCAGTCACCAGCGCACTTGCAGGAGGAGCAGTTGCTGTTCGTTTGTTAGCCAGAGCCCCTCCATGTTCCCAGTAGAGTGTCCATCACGGTGCTGGCGCTAGCCCTGAAGCAGCAACACACCAGCGTGTGTCAAACACCAAAGTCGGTCCCAAGACGTACCAGGGAGCCATTTTGATTGGTTGGTTGGGTTGTTGGATTGTTTGGTTGGTTGGATTGGAGAAGTGTTGGAGCGTGATGAGCCATCAAGGTGCTGAGGGCAGACACTTATATAGAGCACCTGGCCACCAGCTCGCGACTTGGTAACGACTCCCTACCCACGCTGCGGTGGAGACCCTGTCACTCGAAATGGTCATGCGCGAGGCGGTGGGGTCCGATGGAGAGTGACATATCGACCTGCTAACCGCCCCATCAGAGCCACCGTCCTCCGAATTCCCGCGGTTAAGCGTACGCCACGCTCGTCTCCCACCATACACAACAGACAACTTCGATGGGAGAACATGTGGTTGGTCGAGAAACACCGGTGAATGGCTGGATAGCTCACCCACTGGGTGTGCTAGGTGCTGAGACGTACCGCTCTAGGCTGCCTCTCGCATATATGCCGCAGTTACCGGTATACTCAACCGGGCCGGTTGCAGAGGAGCCATCGTCAGCCGTCAGGCTGATACGAGCATCTCTCGATGGTATTGGCTATGGAGTCACTTGCCGCTGCAACCGTATCAGTGCATCGGGCTCCACGGCACCTTCGCTCTGCTCGAAACTGTAGCCTGACCACTGACAAAGAGGACGCCTCGGCCTTGACTTCCTCACCGTATTCTAGCGCTTGAGTTGACGCACTGCACGTGTAAGACATCATGCAGATCGCTTGTACCTAGGTACGACCCGTCGCTCTGGAGCCTTGAGAGCCATGGGACGGCACGGGCACAGCACCACCAACGTGGGATGATGTTGGTGACCCCTAATCCGGTGCTTACGTCTCAAACGTCCACTGGTTGCATCGGAATCAAGTGGTGGCACTGCATACGCATTCCCCGCTTCTGGGCACTATCTGATTGCGGACTTGGCAGTTCGCAGTATGCTGATGTGAATCCTACCATGGTACATACAACTCGCATAGCGAGGTCATAACTGTGTCTTGTTTCAGTGGAATCTTTGCTGTCGTCTGGATGCATGTGAATGTGCCTGGAAGGACGCGCGACCGAAGTCGAGGATCTAGATCTACACCAAGTTCAAGCGCGTGATCTGATGATGCATCGCTGGGTAGCGCTCAATGTAGTATGGCCGAGAAGCCAATCGCGACGGTCCGTCAGTGGAGCTATGATGCAGCTAGTGGGCAACACGTGGGGAGAAGCCTCGCATTTCACATTAACTAGGTACCTAGGCAAACCTTGGGGCCCTGGAAAACGACAAGTGACATGGTACATCATCAGATGTATCTTTTGACTACACTCAACAGCGTCTAAACAGTTAGCCACTCCCCAAATATGACGTAATTTCCAATCCCTTGGCGTGTGAGCTGATGGCGGCTGCCGCGGTACATGGTGAGTTGTAGCTGCTAAGTATGTCATCCCCCTAACACCAGTGGACTCCATACCAAACACCCACTCGGTGCCAACAACTCTTGGAAAGCGATAACATATCAACATAAGAGCGGCAGCCGCGGTTCGCTCAGACTTTGTTGCACATACCAGGTGACTAGGATCTTCTAGCAAACCTCCACGCAGAGGACGGCTCCACATGTCTTGTCACCAAGCCCATACACTGATATGGTAGTCTGGCCAGCGGTACATCGACCGCGCCCCTTGACACGTTCGGACTTGACATCCTCAAAGGACCGCACAAGGAAGGTGACGCTCATGTTGAGCGCGGGACTTCTGGTATTGACGGCGTAAGTGAGGTGGATAAGGCATGTGTTGGCTTTGGAGTGAGGCGAGAGCGTACGTAATATCGAGCTGTAGTTGGGAGTCCCAATAGTGATTGAGTGAGTGAGTGGCACTTTTGAGGATCTCGATGGAAAAAATGGTCTCTGTCTTTTGACATGGCATCTCCAGAGAGAAAAGAGATCTTACGTATTAGACACACTGGTGGTGACTGGGCAGTGAACGTATCAGAGCATATGCTTTTACATCTTTGACAATCACATGCATCTCGGCAACTCATTCACCCTCTTGCGGCTGACTGATTGATTTGCCTTCTATATCCGGCCTTCGTCATACACACGATCCCATGCGGTTATTTCCGGTCTGCAATTGGGCTGCGGAGTACTTCTGAACATCTCCAACTGTTCTGCAGTATACAGAACGAGGTCATCGTCTCCGTATTGACCAATGATCTGCAGTCCTACAGTGTTGAAGAATGAAACCGGAACCGTCGAACTCTGGCTCTTTTCCTCGTAAGGAGTAAATGTGGGAAGAGTGATTGCTGGCAGCCCGGCAAGACTAGCTGGTACGGTAAAGACATCGTTCATGTATGAGTGCACCGGATCCTGATTCTCGACTTCAGCCAAAGACGGTGCCGTTGATGGAGCTGTGGGGCATATGATCACGTCCACTCCTTCTGTTTCTGCCACGGTTTCTTCGGCATCGAGCAACGGGTTTGGACTGGCAAACACCCTGTTGAAGTCTTGTTGTACGAGCCTCCGAATCTTTTGTGCTTGTATGAAGTAGTTGTCGATAGCCTGGGCACTTAGTGAAAAGGCTCCAAGGAGTATACGCCGCTGAACCTCCGGACCGAAACCTTGACCCCGGGTTTTAGCAAAGAGCACACTATCTGGTGTACCGTCGATGCCCTCAGCTCTACTTCCGAAACGCACGCCGTCGTACTTTGCGAGGTTGCTCGATGCCTCGGCTGGCGCAAGGACGTAGTAGGCTGATAGTGCTTGTTGCGTTGTGGGTAACCGGATAGGGTGCAAAGTATGACCAGCATTCCACAGATGTCTGAGCTGGTCAAGCCACGCCTTTCGAACAGCGGGCTGCAATGTGTCGATGTTGTAATCAAGAGGAATGCCTATCTTCAACGAAGCTGGTCGTTTTCCTGTACGGAATTTTGCTCGGGTTGTGTTGGGAACGGACGTCGGATCCTGCGCATCGTGGATGTTGACCTTGGCTGCACTCAGTCAGATATGTCGAAATGATTTTCCACATCTCCATAGACTCACAGAATATGCTCTTCACACTCGCCACGTTCTTGCCAAAGATCCCGACAGTATCCAGAGAGTTTGCATAAGCAATTACACCCCATCTCGACAGCAGTCCGTAGCTCGGCTTGAACCCAATGACTCCGGTATATGCAGCAGGAAGCCGTACCGACCCCCCAGTATCGGTACCTAACGCGCTGCTCGTCTCAGCACACATACTCCGTCCTCGTCGGCTGTCAAACACTTACGCCCAACATTGCGACGACGCGACAGCAAGCGCGCTTCCACCTGAGCTTCCACCCGCACTTGCATCCTCTCCTTTGTATCTCTGCATCTTCACTGATCCAGAGTGTGAGTGTGTCGAGTGCGATCCCATGCCGAATTCGTCCATGTTCGTCTTGCCTACCACCACAGCACCTTCATCTTGCAGTAGCCTCACCACCGTGGCGTCATATGGGCTGCTAAAGTCTTTGAGAATCCTGGAGGAAGCAGTAGTCTTTAAGTTCTTCGTGCAGATGTTGTCTTTTATTGCGATTGGCTTATCGGTGACGCTGTTGGGTTGGCGGCCGACGGTACGGGATTTGGTGGCATCGCTGCTTTGGAGGACGGACGCTTCGACGAGGGAATTAAACGCGTTGAAGTGTCTGTACTTCGACTGGTTCGCCAAGTACGTCTTCGCATGCTTGGAGAGGGACATGGAGGGTGGGGCGCATCGCTGGCGCGTTGTCGCGAGTGGGATGTCGGCACTGCACGAGCGGGACAAAAAGAAGTCGCGGCGTCATGTGATCAGCCTGACTCGCGCCCTCAGCATTGCCCACGATTATAGACACCAACTGACTGCCAATGCATCCCAGCTCACTCATGAAGTAGCCCACAGACTAGAACTTCGGAACACGCCAAGAGGAACGCAAAAACCTCTCTTCGAATTCTTAGATAAATTCTCCATCACCCCAAGTGAGGGGTCGTCATCCACCGCGGCGACTGTCGTAGCGACGATGCCTGGAATACATTCAACGATGATTTGATCGAGTGTGTCAAGAACGAGCTGCGCCGCCCAGAATCGGGCCATCTCATACAATCGCTCGCACTTACAGTCGAAGAAGACCGTCCTACCCTAGACGATGCGACTGATGCACAGCAATTGTTCACCGCGTGGACGCATTATCAGGAAGCAATAGAAGAATGCAAAACCATCCATGGATCTTGCAGAATGGTGTGGTAGGCTTTCTGAGATATGACTACTGCGAACTCATAGATGCGCGGGTATTTAATGGGAAGGAAACGAGGATGAAGAAGAGGAGGAGCCTGTCGGAATCAAGCTGCACATGCCAATGATCCTACCAGATGCGCACATGCATCTCCCCTTTCCAAACATTGATTCATTCAGCACATAGGCCACAGATGCGAAAAGAGACGGTGTTTGCCGATACTGAAGTAGTGTTGGTCTACAGTCCTTGGATTTGGATGTGATACCAGACGGCATAGTAGCAAGAAGCCAAGGCCCCGAAGGTGTCTGAGTTTGTATCCGTAGTACGCCAGACTCCGAAGATCTCTTTGAAAGAATAGACCAGGTGTCTGTTGGGTTTCGAGTGGTAATATCAATGTGTGTTTGAAAGAATAGAGTACGCCTTTGACTCAGACTGCGGTCTGGTCCTGGCTCGGGCTGGTTGTTGAGATTGTACTCAACTGAAGATCTCTTCAAGGCACAGTGGACTCAACATGGCCGATATTAGAGACATCTGCAGGCTGAGTGAAAGTTTTGGAGTTTCTTCAGGCCGTCGCGCAGACGACACGGCTAAGACCTAGTTAGAATTCACCTAGGTCGCGGTTCAAACTCAGGAGGGAGGCCTACTAGCGCCGCCAGTGCCAACGCTGCCAAGCCGCTGAACAAGATCTCGACCAGCTGAGGCTTGAATTCTAGGCGAATTACAGTTTGTCTTAGCCGGCGATCCAATCTACGCGCTCATTACCTGGTGAATAACACCGAACTTCAAAGCCAGAAACCACCAGACGGCGCATGCAAAGCTAGAGGATTGTGACAGCTTTGACGTACAGTAGCCTCGCATTGGACGCGATGTTGGACAGATTGTAACTCAGAGTCGCACCATGGGAGAGCAACCTACAGCGACAACCCATCATCGCTTCTCATTCCGTATTACATATTCAGTAAGCCCGCAAAGGGACCCTGCCAAGCGGAGCGGTATGTGAGTCGGAGGCTACGCTCTACCAAGGTACCACTCCCGCCACGGGTATGCATTCGATTGGAGTCGCCTATCGTAGCCTTGCCTTTTACAGCATCGCCATCACTGTTTCATTAGACACGCAGCGCCTTCCAAGGGTTTCTCAAACGCCAGGTCTGGGCTACAGACTTTTATTGGCCGATATGACGCAGAAGAGAGAGTTAAGAATAGGGGCACGCGACACGGTATAAGGTGCTCGCGTGCCTAAAACCTGACATCAGGGAGTGACGAAGCTCAATCTCCAGACCTTTCCTTCTCGCAGTTGACGATACGTTTTGATGGCGGAGAAGATGCAAAGCACGGCAAATGTGTCGAATGACACCCATGGCGCGTCGACACGGCCGCCACTGAAGAAGCAAGACAGCGATAAAGACTTCGACGACTACTTCGCAAGTTTTTCTCTATAACGACTCGCACAGTCACTAATGCTAACTAGATTGGACCGCGCGATCTTGATCATCACTCGAAGGTAAGTTCGGACTGTACGAAGTGTATGTGAGACATATACTGACTTCGTACCTCTACCTCTGCAGTGGCCTGTATTTCTCCGCGTTCATGGCAGTGTAACACCTGAAATGGTACTACCCTTGCTCTTTGTAGCCGGCTGGTCAAGCATGATTACTCTAATATCGAAGTTCGTACACGACCGTACGCTAAACTCTTATTCTGTTGACATCCAACATGTATTGACCACTTCCAGTCAGCGTTAACCAGCTTTTGCTTACAGTACTTGGTTTCGTCGTCGGTCTCGCATTGAGCTTCAGAAGTTCCACCGCCTACGAGCGCTACAATGATGGCCGCAAATACTGGGCACAACTCACTTTCGCGTCCCAAAATCTTGCTCGCCTCATCTGGATACACGTCGACGAACGTCACGAGAAGGACGCCGCGCTCGGCAAACAAGACCTTCTCGCCAAGATCAACTGCCTGAACTTGATCACTGCGTACGCGGTCGCACTCAAGCACAAGCTGCGATTTGAGCCTCACATGCATTACGACGACTTGAAGCACCTGGTCGGTCACCTGGACACCTTTGCGCGCGACGCCGACCAGCCAGACGCGCACAAGAAGCCAAGCATCTTCAAGACGGCAGGACAGTTCCTTGGGCTGCCAATGGCTGAATCGAACCCGCGCAAGCTGCTGAAACGCTCTCGTGCCCCCCTTGGCAACCTTCCTCTGGAGATTCTCAACCATCTGAGCGTCTACATGAAGTCAATCTATGACAACGGAACCTTCAAAGTTTCCATCTACCAGACGCAATCCCTCAATGCACTCACCACCTTCAACGATGTGCTCGCGGGTACTGAGCGCATTTTGTCGACACCGCTACCTCTCGCATACAGTATCGCTATTAGTCAGATTACCTGGGTTTATATCCTCCTCCTACCATTCCAGCTATACAAGCTCTTGGGGTACATTACAATCCCAGCGAGCGTCTTTGCAGCCTACATCATCCTGGGCATTGCGCTTATTGGCCGCGAAATCGAGAACCCGTTCGGTAACGATGTGAACGACTTGCCCCTGGACGCATTCTGCCTACAAATCAGGAAGGACATCGATATCATCATGAGCAAATCGGCTCCGAGCATTGAGGAAGTAGTAATGCACCCGGACAATCAGCTTCTCTATCCCTTGAGTACTCTGGGAAGTGCAGGATGGGCGGCGAAAAGTGTAGACGAGATTAGGGATGCGTTAGCGAGCAAGCCTGGTCTGCACTTCCCTTTGGTTGACCACCACGAGCATCCAAAGCCGGGTCACTCAGTCAGTGCCGGTGCTCGCCGTCGGACAACGAGTGAGGATCGCGCTGAGATGGGTGAGGCCGGACATGGTAGACATAATAGTAGTGCAGGCGATGGTGGAGACTAAACGCATATTGAATGTAGGCTACGTTGGGAGAACGAGTCTATGAAGATTGAATGAAAGCATGACATGCCCGTTCGAAAAGCTGTGATGAATGATCTCTTGTGAGTCTGAATAGAGCATACAAGCCATTTTTCTAATGAAAATCCTCCATGTACAACGGTGCCTAACATGCCTTTGCAGACCAAAGGTCTCGTGTTTAAGCCGAGTGTGGTAATCTATATCAAGGACAGCATGAGCGAGAACTGCACGACAAGAGTATCTTGACGCTCCGTGCCGTGGTGATGGATAGACAGTAAAGAGAAGTGGCCTATACTGGTAGCGCAAATTGATAAAGATTAATGTAGTGTCCTTGTGAAGGGAGAGCTAGTAGAAACGCATAGATTCTACGGTAGTGGCTTCCATGAGTGAACATGACCGCGTTGCGGTCATATGCCACTTTTGTTTGCAATTCCTTCACATACGACCATAGGATCTTGAGAATTAGGCTTCCCGTCCGCTCAGCCATATACAAGCAAGATACCGGCAGATTAGTACTCGGGTGGGTGACCACCGGGGAATCCCCGCTGTTGTATGTTTTTGGCCCTCTTTTTTGCCAAATTGTCCGGATTAGGTCCTGCGTATCGCTCTTCCCTCGGTGTCTCGTCAGCCAAATGTTTTTGCAGGATGGACACAGTTTTGCGATACTAGCGGTTGTTCAGTCTCCTATGGCCGTCATATTGTGTGTCATGTACCCAAACGCCTCGCTATGCAAATGATATACATCCCAGCTTCTTATGAGAGTGGGTTGACAACCCCAGAACTCTACTCGTCCATCTGCCACTGATATTCCAGCTTCTCAATATTGGCTTTCCTGTTCCTCGAATCAAACCACTGTTTCTCGAACCCGTTTCCTCGATCGATACCGTCCCATCGATGTCCTGGGCGGATGTTGTACCGATTGGGTTGAAATGGTCCTTGGTATAGAGGCTTGCCTGTAATGCTGCGCCCAGCCTTCTTCTTGCGCAAGAAGCCTGACGCAGGGTCGTTCCAATGCCCTCGCTCCTTCAGCTCGTCGTTGAGCTCCGCATCGTCTGCGTATCGGGCGATCGTCATCGTCTTCGCGTCCTGTAGCTGTTGTTTCCTGCGCTCTGCATCTGCGTTTTGTACGTCTCCGCGCGCTGCCTTCTCCTTCTCGCGCTTCTTGCGTTCCTCTTCTTCGGCTTTCTTCCGTGCTTCTGCGCGCTTCATCGCGACGTTGATTATGCGACCGCTGGCGTCTCGGTAGATGGTTTCTTGCGCAGCGCTCCCCATTTCCTTTGCGGCCTCTTCGGCTTTGCGCTTCTCCTCGTCTTGTTTCTTCTTCATGGCTGCTGCGACCTCGGCAGCGCTTTGTAGACCTGCTTTGGCGCCCGACTCCATCCTCATGACACCGTCTGTGTCTACCATCTCCGGCGCTTCATCCTCCGCTTCAGCGGCCTTCTCGCGATCGGCGGCGGTCCCTGCTATGATTGCATCTGCGGCGGCTGCGTCGGCAGCAAGTTGTTCGGCGTGTGAGGGCGCGGCGACGCCTACGGCTGTCCATGTTGCGGCACTGGTGCCTTTGGATTTCTTCTTG